CCTGCGACAGGGCATAGGACAGTTCTTGCCACCAGCTGCCCTCTGCACTCACCAGGGTGACCAAGTGGAGCCAGACCTGAGGGCTGCCCTGCCCAAGGGCCAGCTGCGCCCATACAGCTCCCTGGCAGCACCAGGCTGGACACCCTGTGCAGAGGGAGGAGGCTGTGCCAGCCTGGATGTCTGCCCTGGGGCAAGGGTGCAGGGGTCCAGCACCATCTGCAGAACCAAAGGGAGACCCAACTCTTGCATGGTCTTGACAGTCAGCTCCAAGCTGAGGAGCTCAGCCAGCTTATGGAGCCCTTTGAAGCTGCAGGACGGGAGGGAGAGCGACAAGAGCCGCTGCCGAGGACACAGCCAGGCCGCCCGAACAGTGCAAGCACTGGAGCGAGGAGGAACATGCTCCACAAGCGCTCTGGCTCTGTCCTCACGTTCCCACAGGCTCTGTCCCAGTCCTGGCCAGGGCTGCTCAGTCTCTCCCAGGTCAGGGTTAGCTACAGGGGGATGCAGGGATTGCACAGCAGCATGGACTACGCTACAAACCACACTCAGAACGGAATCTCACAGGAACAACACGGACTAGGAGGCGTGCAGAGCACTGGCATGGAGGACCCCCAGCCACGGCAGACCTGAAGCGTTCCTCTGCAGCGCTGGGATCCCTCAGAAGCAGCCACCCCCCCAGCTGGTGCTTGCTCTAGGAGTGTAAGCGCATACAGCAGATTAGGACAGCCACAGGGGGACTACTGGATTAGATACACATCAGGAGGTGTCCCTCCTGCTACACGGGGTCAAGCCTGTGCCACCGGTCCCTCCGGACCTCTCACAGCACACACAACTCAAACTTCAGCTTGTGAATAAGTTAACTAGCAACTGTACATTTTCCTCGTCTGAGCCAGTTCCACAGATGGGACATCCCTGGAACCTGGGCAAGGGATAACTCAGGGAGTTAGAGATGGGTCGCTCCGGACTCCAGGGGTGGGAGGGTCGGACAGGAGCAGAGCAGGGTTAGAAGATGGGAATGTAGTTGTCGATCTTGGTCCTGTGCCGCTGGGCGATGCACTCTGCGATCCACACGATGTTGCGGCACTCCTGCTCCTTCAGCTTCACAAAGGCGTAGAAGACTCCAAAGTGGAACTGGTTGAGGAAGGCCAGCTTGTTCAGCTTCACCTGGGGAAAGCCCAGAGGAGGACATGTTACTTGGCCCCCTCAGATGGGAGGAGCTGGTGAAGGCAAGCGTGGAACAGCTTGGGAGGTGCCACGAGTTCCCCCACAGGCTGGAGGGCTCAGCAGAGGAATCCTGCTCCACATCCCCCTAGGTCCTCAGGGCAGCTCTAACCTATAGCCCCTGGCTCAGGACAGGCTCTGACATGCGAAGGGGGAAGTATTTATACCCTCAGGTACTGTGAAAACCCTCCTTTACCATGTAATTACACTCTGGTTTTGCTGTCGATGGACCAAATACCCACCAGCAGGCCCAAACTTGCCTCTCCCAGCGCTCTCATCTGTCTGGGAGAGAACACAGACCAAGCACTATGCTGGAACCCCATTCCCTTGCTGGAGCAGAGGGCTAACATCCTTTTCCTCTCCCCAAAATCTGCTCATCCACAGCACTGCTGACAGGGCAGATGACAAGCTTGCTGCTACCCTGAGCTTTGCCAACAGCACAGGTAGGCACACGCCAAGATGTTCTTGGGGCTCACTCACCTCGTGCTCGAAGAACCTGTCTTCAAGGGTCTTGTCTCCAGGGTTGCTGCCAGCCCCTTCAAAGAGCAGCTTGTACTCCTGCAGGAAGGCACCACAAGAGGATATACCCAAAGCCCTCCAAGCTCAGCAGCGTTTGGGGGCCCCGTGTGTCCAACAGACGCTCCAGCCACTGTGTCAGGTCAGCAGAGGACACTGATAAGCCAAGAGCCTGTCTTGTGCACACACAAACAGCAGCAAGGGGATGCTGCCGAGGCCTCAAAACACTGGCACATGCCCTGGCTGCTTCAGCAAGGGGACATGGAGCTCTCTGACTCCAAAGAGGTCCCCAGCCATGTACAGGAGCAGCTTAAGGAACCCAGACACATCCAAACGCGTCCTCCCAGGTCAGTGTCTCCCCTGTGACTGATGCGGAGCTCAGAGTGACCCACTAGGGCTGGGGATGCAGCACACCACTTCTTGCTGAAGACACATTTCCACCCCCAACCAGCCAAAGAGAGACTGTCATTGCTGCCACACCAATTCCTCACGGGTTTGGTGGCGAGGGCAGTCCCCACACCCTGGGACGGGGCGCCCAGGGCACGCCTGGTCTCCCTATCACCACTGCAGCGACAGCCATGACTAACAAGCCAATGGCATCCCAGGCAAGGCAACTCCATCCTGGTCAAGCAGAGCACAGGACCAGCAGCAGCAGACAGACACCCCTCCCCCCAGGCTGTCAATCCACAAGTTCCCCCAGATCCTTGAGAAGCTCTGATCCAGAGCAGGTCCTTGCACCAGTCCCCACAGCCCTCACCCAAAGCACTCACAGGGTAGTAGTCAGCAACATTTTTGACTTGTTCATAGTCATCTGCTCTGGCCAGCTGAGCCAGGCCCTCAGGGTAGAGCTTGCCACAGTGTGGGAACAGCTTTGCTCGATCCTCCTTGGACAGCTCCGTACCAAATGAGTTAATGGTGATGATAAAGGCCCTCCGGTCAGCTTCAAACTGTGGGAGAAGAGAGGTTCATCTTGGGATGCAGCATCTTTGCCAGAGGGCAGCAGGTCCCGTCGCTGCTCTGAACAGAGGCACATCAGAGGGCAGCATGAGCGAGCTGCCTGGGAGGCACACAGCTATCCTGTGCTTAGCCAGGGCAGGCTCCCAGCGTGCCCAGCAGTTGATGCCTGGGGAGCAGACAGGTGAGGAAATCCCATCCCAGGCACAAGTCAAACGACCAAGCAGAACCCCACCAGGTCAAGGAGCCTCTCTCGCCCACTGCCCCTGAGCCCTGCGCATCCCACAGCTAGCTTTGGCATGGAGGCCGTGCACCAAACAGCTTTGGTTGTTCTCCTGCTTGTTATCCATGTGAGAGGATGAAGATGTTGCCACGAAGGCAACAGGTGTGTCAGCACCCAGCAAGATGAGGACTGGGGAACCAAACCTGTCCAAAGCCATGAGCAGGCAGTGTTTTCCCAGGTATGCCAGTGAGCAGACTGAGTGTGCAGGGGGAATGCTGAAGAATATCTTGAGCATCCTTAATGCTGGCAGGTAAGCTAGGCCTGAGCACAGAGCAATGAGTATCACTGCAATACCGTCCAGCTACAGGGGCTTCCAGACCTACCTCCAGGATCGGGCACATGGCATCTGCTGTGGTACCTCCCAGCATCTTACAGAACTTGTAGAAGGACTCCAGGTAAGCCTGGAAGAGAGAGGGTAGATGAGCACTGTTCTACACAGCTTCATCTGCCGCCCCAGCAGAGGACAGACAGCAAGCAGGGATGCTCCCAGACACTTCCTAACACGGCACAGGCACTCTCACCCCACGTGAACTTGGACGCCAAGCCCACACAAGGGTCAGTGCTTCCCCAGGAGCTGGGGCCACGTCGGGTTGTGGTTGGGTTTGCTCAAGATCCCCAGGCAGCAAGGTTAAAGCCTACTTTCCTCCTTTGTGTCATCTAACTCCAAAGCGTTTACCGAAGTCTCACATGGTTTCCTGACCTCGCCCCGGCCTCCGCAAACACGCCAAGCCACACGGCTACAGCTGCAAGACCTGCACTTCAGAAAGTCCCGCTGTGTAAGCAGAGTCAAGAGAGACAGGACATCTGTGAAGGAAACGAGCCGTTCTCTGTAATTCTTCTCGCGCGCTGCAGCCGCTTGGTCTCCATCCCAACTGGAGCACTGCAGAAAACATCCAAGGCTAGGCACAGCTACGCTGCCTCCAGGAAACGTAATCCTTTGCGGAGATGTACCGTAATCCAGCTGGAAGATGACTGTATCTCCCAGGGGGAGCCCGCGAAGGCAGTGCATGGCTAGAAGTGCTGTTCAGCAAAAACTTTCTCAGAAGGCATCATGTGATAAAATACCTCCCTGGACAGAGCTGCAACCAGAATCGCTTAAAAAGGATGGAATAAAAAAAAATCTCTGCTTTGTCACAACAACTCCAGGACTGAAGAGGGATCAGGAACGCGCGCGTTAGGCACCCTCAGCCTCTGCACTAGGAAAGCACCTGGATTATGGCGTTCTGTAAATATTTGTCACCGCGCGGTGCAAGAGGACACTGCTGGGTGAGCATCACACGTCATCCCCAGCACTTGCCACTGCTCAAATGCGGGAGAGCGCAGAGCATCGGTCTGCGGAGTCGCTGCAGGAACAAGGGCACGGATAACGGACTTTGCTTGAGGCTGACAGAAAAGGGAACCTGGGAAAGATGTTTAGTCACCACCTCTGCCCTTCTCAGAGTTCACACACAAACTTAAGGCCTTAGAAGCAAAAAAAGGTGAACTCAAACATCCAGCACTGAATGAGGATCCAGTACCACAGACACCATGGAAACACAGGCTGTAAAACAGCTGCATTGAGTACCCTCCACTACGGACCCCTCTGCAGACAACAGCGATTTACAGAAACTCTCCAGTGTCCCGAAACCCTTATCCCAGACACGGTGGTGTCTTTGCATTTAATAACCATTAATGGACTTTCACTTTCATGAACCCACACGCTGACCCTCTGCCTCCAGCTAGGCTCATCTGTCTGTCACATCCAGCCTAAAGGGAGATGTGTGGCCTGTCCATCCACGCTGACTTTCCCAACGCAATCTGCCGTTACCACCACAGCTAGGGTTCACTCCTCCTCCAGGTGAGGAACCCCAACTGGTTTTGTCATTTCCCATACAGAAGTCGTTGTACCCAAACCTTCAAACGTGTTCTCCTGAGCAGCTTCTCCTGCTCTGCTGTTCATATTTGGAGATGAGAGGGGAGAGGAACGAGACAGCGTTCAGGACAAACACGCTACAGATGTGCACAGCAGTGCTGGACTCCACTGCTGACCACCCTCTACACCAAGAGCTGATCACTTACTTCTAACCTCTGCTCCCCATCTTCATCATATTTCCATTCAAGAACCTGCTCATTTGTCATTGCTAACAAGAAACCTTTGTGATTGCTTTCCCTCTATGAATCCTGCTCAAACCTTCTGCCTACACACTCACAGATTCCTTCAAAAAAATCTCCAGGTCTGCGAGGTAGCACTTCTCCCTCTCGTGCCAACTCCTCCCAGATGCAGGCATCCATCCCAGGCTCGGCTCCTCAGAGCAACTCTGTGCAGATTTCAGACCCGATTTCATTTCCCTCATTTGCCCATGAAGACCATTTGCATTGTATTACACATTTTCCAGTCCCCGGGGAGAGACGTGGCTTCAAGTGAGAGTCTGTAAGCGGCAGTTACCTTTTCCATCCTTGCATCCCCGTGATTTGCTACCGACAGAACCCCTGGGGCTGCTCTTTAGCAAGAACCAGTCCCACCCAGCACACACCAGACTTCTACGCTTCAGTTTGGGGGTAGGAAGAGCAGAACGCAAAGCAGTATCAGGCTTCAGAAAGGAAACGGGAAAGGATGTGGTGGCTGGGACCCAAGGAGACACCCCCCACACCCCCCAACCTGTTTGCCCTGCGCTCACTCTGTTCCCTGCCTTCCCCCACCTGTCTCGGCTCAACACAGAGCTCTGCACCTTGCAAGGGTGCAGGTATTTATGTGCACGGGCATAGCTCCCCCCGTTACAGCAAGAGACCAGTACACACCAGAGGCCATCCGCAGCTGGGCATGACTGCCGACACACAGCTCCTTCTCCCCTCCCTTTGCCTCCTTCCCTTCACGCCTGATCTGCTCTCTGCCTCTCCAAAGAGGCCACAGCTTCCTTGGGAAGCAGAGGTCACACTGACTGCGAGCTGGCTGTGACCAGCCAAAACAAGGTGGGCAGATACAATCTGCATCCCACCCTTAATCCAGAGAGTGGAGATGGAGCGATACCGCGGCCTGCACATAAACACATGCTTTGATACCACCAGCTAAAACCAGACGGGGCCGGCAGAGGAGACAACAGCTCTCTGTGCAGGCTCGGGACAAGGAGATCCTCAGTCCCTCCACATCCCTGTGCCTGCAGGACTCCTTCACCCCGGCTGCACCTTTGACACTGCTCTACCAAGAGCATCTAACCCCAACCACAGCCACCGAAGGCTTGAGCAGACTGTTGGAGGCTCTTCTGAAAGAGCTCAAGACAAAGAGCCAAGCCCGTGGAAGTCCTTCAACCAAGTTTAAGATCTGGCTGCTTTGGCCTTTTGAATGCCGTTAACTACATACCTAGACTCGTGTGGTTAAGGAGCAGCCTTCTCCTGCCTGCCTGGGGCTGAGGAACTTTATCCAAACACATAACCTCTGCAAAATCCCTTGCACAGACTCTTGACAGCCTGACAGCTCCAAAAAAAAAGCTCCCTCTGCCTAGTTGTGGTGCTCTGACTCTGCAGAACTGTGTGATCGGATGTCAGTCCCCTCCAAGAGCACGATCTTTATTTTCCCATGGAGGCAACCAGCTCTTGGTCAGCTGGAGAGAGACTTTTTACAAGGGCGTGTAGCAACAGGACAAGGGGAAATGGCTTTAAACTGAAAGGGGAGATTTCGATTAGATCTAAGGAAGAAAATTTTCACTCAGAGGGTGGTGAGGCACTAGAACAGGTTGCCCAGAGAAGCTGTGGATGCCCCACCCCTGGAAGTGTTCAAGGCCAGGTTGGATCAGGCTTTGAGCAACCTGGTGTAGTGGAAGGTGTCCCTGCCCATGGCAGGGGGGTTGGAACTAGATGATCTTTGAGGTCCCTTCCAACTCAAACCATTCCATGATTCTATGATTTACTCGCTCCAGTGAAGAAGAAAAGAGAGAAAGCAAAATTATTTTTAAGTCTACTCCAAGAGGAAAATACCCTCTCGATGAAGAAAGCCAGCTTAGGTTGGAGCTCCTGACCCAAGACAGAGCTGTAGCCACGCTAAGAACAAGCAGGGAAATTACCATGTCTTTCCCTTCCCAGAGACTCACTCACCTTATACAGCGTGTTTCGAATTATCTCAATGTTCATTTCATCCAGGTCCTGTTCGGATATGCAGTCTTGGAAGAAAGCAGCTGAAACAGAGCCCCCAACAGAGTTAGCATTGCCCTCACCAGACCCATGCCCAGCACCTTCCAGAGTCCTCAACGATACCAGGCAGAAGCACACCCTGTGCTGAGCTTGTGCCTCCCAGGCCTGGTCCTTATCTTCTGAAGCCACCAAATTGCCACGACTCAAAACCTCAGGCTCCACCAGTGTTCCCCAGGCTACAATCATTTTTGGGGCTCTCACATGAAAATCTTTCTTCATCCTTTGGTCCTATGGTTTGGTTAACAGCCTATTCTCAGCAGAAATTCTGAGCTCTAACCCTCAGCATCAGTGCCAGAGCAGCGTACATTTGCAAACAAGCAGAACTCAAACTGTTCCCAGATGCAGGCACTCGGAGGTGACAAGACAGCTTCCGAATTGCCTGCTACAGCATGGCAGCAGCACTCAGGCGTCTGCAGGACAGCAGCTAGTGAGTCCTCAGGAAGCTGGTGCTTCTCCCTCAGCCTCCAGTATCTTAGTTGGATTAAGAAGGCATGGGGATGTCAGAGCTTTTACAGCCCATGACACTCCATGGTTGGAGTCAGGAGCTGTTTCCCCTGGTCAGGTCTATCCAGCCCATTATTCACTTCTTCCAAGGCCTTTTATTTCTCCATCTGGAGGTAAGCAACTGGAGAAAGGATGAACTAGTGTATTTTGGTAGGAAGTTCGGCCCTATGTACTTTGCCAGGGTATTTCTGGGAGGGAGTTTGAGAAGTTGTTGCCACCAAAAGAACGCAGACTTCAGATCTAACAAAGGGTACTGCAAGCTGCAGATAAAGACGAGTTGTACATCTAGAGTAACACAAGGCTGTTACACCACTCACTTGCTAGTAAGAGCACAATAAACCCCATTGACAGGACTTTTATGGCTTCAGCTCTCACTCAGCAACCAACTTTGCTGAATTGGCTAGAGGAACATGACCCTTCTCAGCTTACACAGCCCAGCTGTGGGTAAAGGACACGGCGCTCACGCTGAGAGCTGATCGCTGCTCTGTTTTGTGTGGCAAACCAGGTAGGATGCAGGTTCACACCTCTGGCATGCACCACTTTCACAGCACGAGCTCCCTGGCACAGAGAACAGCCACACTGTGGGTCTAGAGTGGCCTGAATAGGGAGGTTAACCCCCACAAAGGTTTCTTTGCAACAGCATCAGAGACCAATGCCACGTAGCTGGAGGAGCACCGCTCCCTACGGCTGGCAAAAACGAAAACAGAGCGTGCCAGGACTGGTTTTCACTGCAGGACTCGCTGGCTAGCCCAGATAGCTAAGCAGTGGCTACTTCAGAGTAGCAGAGGAATGAGAACACAGCTATTTCAGTTTTTGGCCCTCCGATATCCCAAATTAGGCTAACAGCAAGTCTTATTTTGCCCTGCTAACCTATGAGAGCCATTTGGGGTTAGGCATTCCTACCAAGCCACGTAGCTACTCAAGTACTTTTAGGAGATAGAACTGCTGTTTCTTTGCGTGTGGTCACTGGAAAGAGCACAAGTTAAACAACTGGAGCTCACATGCCTGCTTGTTTAGGCAACACAGCTACTCCCCGTGTTCTTCTGCTGACTAGATGGTACACAGCCTCAAGGGCACGGCCAGGGCAAGGGTCTGAAGACCTCAGCCCAGCCAGGGCAGAGCAGGCAAAGCTCACTCCCGTACCAGTGCGGGAATGCAAGAGCAAGACCCTCGATGAGCAGCCTCGTTCTCCAGAACCACCTCACCAGTGTAACGGGGCATTTTCACTCCACATCCAGCTGAAAGTTTTAAGGTCTCCAAGAGCTATTCTCCTTTAAGTACTCAGTTCTATATGTTCTCAAAATGAGAAGGTTCCCACTGACTTGTGAGGAGGATTTTCTTCCCACACATCATCCCTACAGCAGGCTCGACTCGGTTGCATGCAGAGCCTCGGTTCTCCTGCTGCGTTGCTGCCCCACCTTGCAACCCAGATCTCTTGAGACATGTCTTCTCTCCTTTCCTGGGCTCTAGCTGACAAGTCATTTTTCCATGACAACCACTTCACTTGCCCCATTATCACACACAGTGTTTGCAAAGGCACTTTCGGTTCCAAAACCAACTATTTCTATTAAAGGCAAGATGATGATTTAAAGTGTTTTGTTCTTTCTAGCAACCCCAAAAGAATGATTAATCGCTGACTCAGGCGTACCTCATTTCTTTTTTTCCACACAGATCCTAACCTAGAAAGTCTCCTGTGACTACCTCTCCTACTACTGCAAAAAGACATTCCATATTTTCTCAGGAACCACTTCCTACACCTTTTGTCTTTAAAGAACATATCTGTCTCGTTGTTCATGAGACACTTGGTTTTAATGTCATGTGTCTCCTGGCCAAGGCTTGTAGCCCTGAGACAGTACACCTCCGTGCAGGATCTTGCTATACAATCAGCTTAAAAATGATTTTGGAGATTTTTTAATTTTTTTTTTTCCTCCTCCTGTTGCTCGTTGGGATTTTTTTGGTATGTAAAGAGCTTTTCTTGATCTAGAGCTAATTTTATCAGTCTCAGAACAAGAGTGGGCACGTGCAGATCTCTATAATTATCTATGAAAATTGCCCAATGGTCCAGCTACAAGTGCTGGAAATTAAGTGACTTATTCCAGCAGAGGACCCAACAGCCTTTCACTAAGGAAGCACACGCACCATGTGTCCCATGACAATTATTAAAAAAGATCTCATTGTCTAAAAACACTCCAAACTTCCTCCTTCCTCCCCAGTTTCAGGTCACAACTCGCAGAAGAGCTGGTAAATGGACACATGTAACAGGTCGGATCTAACTACACCTGCACTGCCATGACAGGCCAAGGCCTGGCACACACAAACCAAACTCCCCAGCAGCCTGCACTACCAGCGTGCTGGTTTGGACATTTGTTGAAGCATACAGAAAGGTAGCTGGTCCTCTAGAAGAAAAACTGGCAAAGGACGGGCATAAACCTGAACTCGAGCCCAGCCACCACAGGCAATATGGCCGCAGCTGCACATTACCAACCCCTTTGTCTTCCTGGAGCACAACTTAGACTTATCTGGATGTAGTTAGGCTGGGGGAGAAAGGGACATCTGCTCCTCACACAGCTGAGAGGTATTCTGAAAGGCTCCACTCACCCAGGGGAGTGTCCACCAGGATTGCATTGTAGAGCTCCGCAGGCGTCTGAGCAATGTTCACGGCTTCCATCTGCTCAAAGCTTCCCAGAGGGTGACACTTGGGCACCAGTTCGGAGATCGACCGCTGGTGCAGGGTCCCAGTGATCAGCAGAATGACGTTGTCGATCATGTAGCTGTACCTGGAAGAACGCAAGAGGAAGCCTGTCACAATAAAAATACAAATAATACAAAAACTAGCACCTGGCACCAGATGGGCACACATCTGCAGTCCCTGTAAGCATCTCCAGAAAGACACACCCTTCCCACAAAGGCCTAATAAAGTCACTTCTGTAATGTCTCCTTATCACGCCAGCCTAGGAAAAGGGAGTCAGGCGTAGTCCCAGGCTGTGATTTGTGCTACAGCTTAGCCATACCACGTGGGCATCTCCTACCTACCAGTGAAGGGTATTAGGTTGGAAGAGACTTCTGGAGGTCTCCAGGCTGACGTCCTGCTCCAAGCACAGCCAGCTCAGGGCACTGTCCAGCTGAACTTCAAATTATTTGCTAGGATGTGTATCTAACAACCTCCCCACTGTCTACCCATACTCACAACAAAGTCTTTTCCTAACAACTACTCAGAATTACCCTCGTGGCCATTTGTCTTCTGTCTCTCATCCTAACCCCACACACCTCCAAGAGGAGCCTGGCTCCAGCTTCCCCAAGCCTTCCCACAAGGCAGCTGGGAACAGTTGGCTTTCCAGCATTCCCACTGCTCTCCTCACTTTGCCATGCTCTGCAGAGAGCGCACTCAAAAGCACGCGTGGTAGAACACCAGCAAAGGGGAATGTGCAGAAGGCCTGACTCGAGCTCAGCTTCGTTGCCAGCAGCCCTGTTCCATCTTGCCAAGACTGTAGAGAAAGGGTCACGTTTCTGCAGCCTCGTTCCCTTCCAAAGACAACAGGGTTGGCAGCTTTGGCACGACCTTCGTTCACACCCTCACAAAACTACACGCGAGCTTTCTCACACCTCTGCCACCAAAAGCTACCCGCTCTTTTGCGTTAGCCCACGTCATGACGTCCCTAACCAAGTTCTCTGCAGGAGGAAGCCCTTATACAGGATTAGCAGGTTCAGTCTTTGGCACTGCAGCAATAGGACATTCAATCTGGAACCACAGCAATCAGCACAAGTTCCACCAACACAAGACCTTCGTGGCCCTTCTCTCTAGTATGTCCATGTGTCTCTCACACTGAGGAGCCCAGAACTGGGCAAAGTACTGCAGGTGAGGCATCACCAGTGCTGAGTAGAGGGGCAGGATCACTTCCCAGTCCAGAGAGGGGAGACACACCTGGCCTTAAGACTAGGAATACAAGAAAGGTTGGTGGCCTTCTTCAAGTAGAAGATCCAAGCAAGGGATCAAGGCATCATGTAAACACAAGGAGCTAAGAATCATGGAATGGTTGGGGTTGGAAGGGACCCTCAAAGATCATCTAGTTCCAACCCCCCTGCCATGGGCAGGGACACTCTCCACTAGACCAGGTTGCCCAAAGCCTCATCCAACTTGGCCTTGAACACTTCCAGGGATGGGGCAGCCACAACTTCTCTGGACAACCTGTTCCAGTGCCTTACCACCCTCAGAGGGAAGAATTTCTTCCTTATATCTAATCGAAATCTCCCCGGTTTCAGTTTAAAGAAGAAAAGCATCCCCAGCAAGAACACCTTCACCACGAGCTGAGCCCTAAGCCAATCAAACCATGAACCTGAAAAACATCAAGTAAGATGAGGGTTTTTTTCAGTCAGCAGAAGACCTCTTTGCAAACGTCCCCAAGCAGCAGAGGGAAGGGGCACAGATGCTGGAAGAGCAGGATATCTGGAATTTTACACTTCTTTGCTCTCACTGCTAGAACTCTTAACTCTAAAAAGTTAGATGATGGAAAAGACCTGAAGAAAGCCCTCCTTGTCAGGAGCAGCTCCAAACCAAACGGGATCAGGCCTGAACTAGAAAAGCAGAGGAGCTGTACACATCTGGAGTTGGAGCTCTGTTGAGGTTCAGGCTTCCCACGTGTACTTGGGTACTGAACAAAAGGAACTTAAGGGCAGCACACTGGGACTGGGACAAGGGTGGGAACAGCAAGGATCTGCAGAGATTTGTCCAGCACTAGGATGCTGCTGCTCTTTATTTCTGAGCTAACAAGGAGGATACTGTGCAGCCCTGTTTCCCTTTGAACCACACCACAGGCAGGTAAGCAGAGCCAGTTAAAGGCAGATTTCAGGAGGTTTTATTAGCTGAGCTTACTGCCTCTCAAATATGCTCAAAGGGCACGTCCATGAGCAAACCCACACCTTACTTCCTCAAACAGGTGCTTCTCTTTCCTCCACAGGTAACGCACCTCCCGGCCCCGCTATTTTTACGGAGAGCCTTTCTGTGTTTGCAGCCTAACTGTCCAGGGATGTTCGATCTAGAACCACAGCACACCAGCACAAGCTCCACGTACTAGGAAACCTCCTTTTGCCCTTTAACCTGTGGGGTCGTTATCCTGCCTCCTGTTCGTGCAGCTCTCACTATGGAGATGATTGCAATCTCCAGGACAGCAAGAAGGACCTGTTTACGAGAATGGAGAGTAAGTCCCTCGCAGTAAGCAGCTTGTTCCTGGTAAACACAAGCATCTGCACCCTCACGCAGATGCATCTCCACAAGGTGTAACAGACCAAGGACACAGAAGATCATCTCCCTCCCAGCTCCACCATCTGCCCTCAAACACGCAAGTTTGCTTAGTGCAACACGGTAGCTTTCAGGAAAGACCATAGGTAGGATCACTCTCACCAAATCAAGGCGACATTATAGGACCAGACCAAATTTGTTTCTTCAACTCAGCCTACGATGGAGGAACAGGCAGGGAAATATGGGTGTTGCACAGTATGCTAGCACACCTCTTTCTATTCCCAGCTTACCATGGATGTTGCTCTCTACAAGGTATTTGCCACTTGCAAGGAGCCTGGCCAAAGTCAACCATGCAAAAGGAACTGAGGGAAAGTGCCTGGAGCCCTTTCTGTTCGCAGGTCTTCAGAGCAGCTTAGCTCCTGGCATACTGGAGTCACAGTGAGCTCATCCATGCCCTCCCAGTCCAGCTCAGAATGAAAGTCACAGCCAGGTTTGGGGAGAGCAGCCCAAGTCTGACTCCCTCCGTGTGTGAGAAGCTCCTGCTTTCAGACTGATGGTCCCAGGAGAGACAACCCAGCTGGATTCCAATGCCAGAGTGCAGAGCATGGCTCTCTTCATTTCATTTACACCCCTTAACTTGCTTGTTTCCCCATCCTTTGGAAGTCTGGGGAAATGCAGTCTATAGATCAAATGCCAAGGCCTCTAAGGAGGCCCAGCAGCAACTTTTTGAAAGAGTATTTTACCTGTCAAGACTAATCAATCTTGCTGTCAGAGAAGGACTCACCCCTGGAGGAGGAGGAGTTACCACGCACAAGACAGAGGGGAAATTTCTCATTCAAGTTTCCACTGCGACAGCATTTCAAACCTTTATGATAGCAAGAGAGCTGCAGCAGGACAAAGGTCTTCTTGTGCCTGCCAAGGCCAGGCAGACACCAGCACCCCTATCTGATCCTTCCTGATAGTCCCCATATCCTTCAAGCAAGCCCAGATCACCTTTATTCACATTCAGTCCCTGCTTCGTCCCAGTAAAAACTGTCATGGCTCAGTCAATCATGATTATGAGGCAAGTCTTCTAGCACCAGGGCAGTTGGAAAAGCCTCTTTTCATCCGTGGAAGGGACAACACTTGCTTTCCTGTGCCAGGTCCTGACCAGGGGCATCCGCCTCCATTAGCACAGCTGTACTAAGATCCCAGCAGAGGTCCTGGCTACACTGGCCTTTCCTCCCAGGCCCAAAGGATTAGATTTATCACGGTGACAGCAGTTTTGCTAGGAATCTCCAACTACTTGTTTAATAGAGCAGCTTTTGTCATCATCCTCCTCATCTCTTATGATGCTCTTAATAACTTCAAACGTTTCAGCTTTTGTGGTCAATGTGTGCTCAGAGCCCTCTGAGAGCATTTTAACCTTCACTAGCAGCTACTAAGAGGACCAGACTACGGGACACATCAGAAAACAGGAGTAGCTGGTCCCTTGCAACACCATAAAGTCTTACTGCAGCCCGCTTGGCATGGAAAAGAGATTCAGACACAGGATGGTCTAGTGGGAGATTAGAGACAAGCAGAAGGACCAACAAGCTCCGTGGCAAGGACAAGCCTCTGCACTAGCTCACTGGGAACACTCAGTAGGAGTTCAGAGGAGGAAGCACTACATGGAGGCTCTAAGCTACAGCTTACATGGGGTAACAGGGTTTTAATTAAGTGGTAAAATGGCACCTTAAGCACCTTAAGCTCCTTGCCTCTGCACAGACCAGAGCAAAACTCTCTTGGGCAAGAACGTGATTTACACTCCTGCTTTGAGCTATCTGCCCACACAAGGCAGATGGACACAAAAAGAGTGTATGTTCAGCCAGAGTTTCACGTGCACCGTTACGCCCTGCCTCGCTCTTCCTGTCACCCACTGACTTGAGGTGTGGTATATTCCAGAAATTCACATTCACAGAAATATGGTTTTAGCCGATACTGAGAAGTGTCAGTAACGTCTCAAAGAGCAGAATTTCTTATTAAAGGACAGGAAAGAGTCAGTGAGCATAGAAATACCATCCACAGCGGGAGAGAGATGTTGGCTTACGGCTTCCTGAAGTCTAAGACAACTGGGGCCAGTATCTTCGCCCCTCCAGCAGCACCCAGTTCAGCACAATACACACTGGGCGACACTCGCATAACGCCACAAAGTCAGGCTGGGATATGCCTAGAGAAGCCAAACGAGGTGGTGGGGTGGGGAAGAAATGTTCCATCTAGCAGCGGCAGGTCAGAGATATCACTCTCACCGCTGGTTTTGGGAGGTATGGTCTCAGACAGGCACAGATGAGACCTCTCTGAGAAAACAAGACGAGAGCCAGGCCTCAGAAGCTAAATTCTGGGATAGCCATCCATGGTTAACTGGAAGCAAAGAGGAGGAAAGCACATACACAAAAGCCACATACAGGTACTTTGCCAATGTACGTCTTCCTCCTTTTGGAGTTATTGAAGTTCAGTCACAGACACATGAGCCACGCAAGAAAGACTGCGGTGGCCCGCTGAATACTTGGAAAGGCTTTTTAG